TCCAAACGCTCCGGTATCAGTATCTGCACACAGTGCAGAGTGTAGTATCAGCACAATCGACCCCATGTGCTGGTAAGTGCCTAGCCTAACCTCGGCGAAGTAATGACGAGGCTAGGACCAGACTACCAAATAAACCTGTGCGGTTAAATCATATATAGCGGAAAATAAAAAAAGATAATTACAGCTAAAGTTGGGCGAGGGAAACATGCTGTGGGGAGTAACAGATAACAACAGAATACCAATAGAGAAATGTAAGGAAGGCCATAAATCAATTACCAGCAAAAGATAAGGAAATAAGGAACAAGTACACATGTAATACCGTTGCAGGCATGCAACCCGATCACATTTCATATAAAACCGTTGCAGGCGTGCAACCCGCTCCCATTTCATATAGTACCGTTGCAGGCGTGCAACCTGCTCCCATTTTATATAGTACCGTTGCAGGACCGTTGCAGGCGTGCAACCCGCTCCCATTTCATATATTACCGTTGCAGGCGTGCAACCCGCTCCTATTTCATATATTATCGTTGCAGGCGTGCAACCCGCTCCCATTTCATATATTATCATTGCAGGCGTGCAACCCGCTCCCATTTCATATATTACCGTTGCAGGCATGCAACCCGCTCCAATTTCATATATTACCATTGCAGGCGTGCAATCCGCTCCCATTTCATATTTCAACACCAATCATAAAAGAATCTCAGCAAGGAAACAATAATATAACAACATCCCGGCAAGGGAACAATAATATAACAACAATATCCCGGCAAAGGAACAACAATATAGCAACAACATCCCGGCAAGGGAACAGTAATATAACATCAACATCCCGGCAAGGGAACAGTAATATAACACCAACATCCCGGCAAGGGAATAGTAATATTGATCCTCATATGAAGCACGAATAAACCACAACAGAGTCATAACAATTACAATACAAGACTCACAGGCATGCTTGACACCGATGTATAGATACTCGTCACCATGCCTATACGTCGTACTCCACAGTTAACACATAGCAATTAAGACACAACTCCTAATCCCTCAAGCTGAGGTTAGACCAAACACTTACCTCGAACTTCCACGGCCAACTCAAGCCTCAAACACCGCTTTTCCTTTAGAATTCGCCTCCAAATTACTTGTATCTAGTCCAAACTAATTTAACAACATCAATAAATGCTAAATAATTCAATCCCAATGCTAAATTATAGGTTTTCTATCATTTTCCCCAAAAGGTCAAAAATCGACCCCGGGCCCGCTTGGTCGAAACTCGAGGTTCGGACCAAAACCCGATCACCCATTTACCCGCGAGCCCAAATATGCAATTAGTTTGGAAATCCGACCCCAAAACGAGGTCTAAATCCCAATTAATCAAAAAGCCCTAACTCTACCCAAATTCCTAATTTCTACCATAAAAACCCTAGATTTTAGGATGAAAATTGATGAAATGCAATGGGAAATCGAAAGAAGAAGGTTTAGAATCATATACCAATGCTTTGGGGAAGAACTTGTTATTTGAAAATCGCCTCAATGCTCCCAAATTTTGAAAATAGGAAGTAAATGGGTTCTGCCTGTTTTTGGCTACTATTTTAAAAATGCTGGGCAGGCCTTCATCGCGTTCGCGATGGGCCTGTCGCGTCGCGATGGGTCAGGCCCAGCTGACCATCGCGTTCGCGTTCAATGGCTCGCGTTCGCGGAGCTTTAGCTCCTAGAGCCTTCGCGTTCGTGGTCAGATGGCCGCGTTCACGTAGAAAAAATGTGAAATCCCTCCCCCAAGCCACTAACCTTACGCGTTCGCGAAGGGTACTCCCCTCACAGCTTCGCGTTCGCGTCCTAAGCTCCGCGTTCGCTAAGAACAAGCTGGTACCTGAGGAAGTTTGCCTTACGCGTTCGCGGGTGTAACCATGCGAACGCGAAGAACAAAACCTCTGTGCACCCGAGACAGCAAAACCTGCAACTTTTCTAAGTTTTAAAACATCCCGAAACCCATCCGAAACTCACCCGAGCCCTCGGGGCTCCAAACCAAACATGCATACTAACCCAAAGACATCATATGGACTTATTCGTGCTATCAAATCGCCAAATTAACACCTTTAACAACGAATTTAGCATCAAAATCAAAGAAAAATCTCAAGAACACTTAAGTTTCAAATTTCACAACTGAGGGTCCGATTCACGTCATTTCAAGTCCGTTTCTTACCAAATTTTACAAGCTCAATCTAAACGCCATATAAGACCTGTATCGGGCTCCGGAACCAAGATACAGGCCCAATACCATCAATTTTAAAAACATTCAAATTTCCAAAAACTCATATATATTCCAGAAAACAATTTTCTTTAATAAATTATTTCTCGGGCTTGGGACCTCAGAATTCGATTCCGAGAATACGCTCAAGTCCCATATTTTCCTTCAGACCTTGCGGGGCCGTCGAATCACGGGTCCGGGTCCGTTTACCCAAAATGTTGACCGAAATCAACTCAAATTCATTTTAAAAGCAAAATTTACCATTTTTCACAGATTTTCACATGATGGCTTTCCGGATACACGCCCGGACTGTGCACACAAATCGAGGTGAGACAAATATGAGGTTTTTAGGCCTCGGAACACAGAATTTATTTCTAAAACAAGTGATGACCTTTCGGGTCATCACAATTATATTGGTACTCGGTTGAGTAAGGTACTGGGTGCCCGTCGCGGCCCATCGGTTTGGGTCGTGACAGGATTTTTCGTAATGACACATGGCATTTCTCAAATGGCCATCTTTGCACTTTTTGATTCTCCAACTTGTAGGCTATAAATACAAAGGCTTGACCTCAGTTTTACACACCAAAATTTTTGAAAACTTTCTCCCCTGTTCTTTACATTGTTTCAAATAAAGTGTTAAGTATGATTGCTTTGCTCTTCGAGTTAGTCAAAATTCTATAATTTAATTTGAAGTGCTGTTGTTATAGAAGGCAAATCGAACAAAAGATCTTCCCACTAATTCTTTCATTCTGCCGGCTATGATACTGGTAAAGAGCCTCATCCTTCTCTCCGACACAATATATTTCTCTTTATCCTGGGAAGAATTAATCCGTACCTTGGCCAATAATGAGGAAATTAAATTCCTTAAGTACATAATGATTTATGTGGATTCGAAATTTGTTAAAGTTTCTGGTTATTATATTTTCCCAACTTTTATAGCCTTTATTGTTTTATATACAGATATTTAATAGTCACTAATAGGGAAGAAGCAATTCTCTACCAGAAGGGAGAAAACCAACTCCCAATGGAAGAAATCAGAGGAGGTAAACGTTCTTTATATTGACGGTGTATATAAGTTAAATTCATTGTGAATTACAATTCTACTAATACAAGAGAAAATGAATTAGAAATGACTAGTTAATATGTTCATAATGAGATAAGTGTAAGGATTTTCACGTTCTAGATTGTGGTTCATAAGCAATCTATCTAAAATCCTATCAATTATTTAGAACCGTGGAACTATATAATTTTCATATAAAATGCATAAATCATGAAACATACCCGATTCTATTGATGACTCACAGTGGAATTGTGTGACCTTTACTTGTGATTAAGAAAGTTCTTTCTCTCTCTTTTCGTTCTTCTTTCTTTCAGAACAACAACGATGAAATATGTTATTATTTTCCTTTTTAAAGACAGAGAGAGAGGACCGATAGTTTTAACGCATAATTCCACTTTCCATCAGAGTGGGAGTTTTAATCAAAATTAACTTTCCCAAGTAGCCAATAGGAATTTAGCAAATTTAATTTAATAATTATTAAACCCTAAATAACTTGTAACCAACGCGGGCCATATTTTACGTTTTCCCTGGCACACGTGAATTATTCACTTAATGGTTTAATAAATATCTAAATTATGCGCACAATTAATGCTAAATCCATCTTTCATTGGAAACATGATTCATTGTTATTGAATAAGTAAATTAATATGAGTCATAAGCCAATACTGTCATCGTTATTCTCAACATTATGTATATAAGAGAAAACAGGTATAGAATACCAAAAACATATGCTTAAATGAGCTCAAAGTGTCAATTGCATAAACATAATAAAGTCTTTACATAAAGTCAAACATTGCTATTAATAATACCCATTCTTTCAACATGTTCAATAAATATTTTGGGCGGTAATCCTTTCGTCAAAGAATGCTAATATGTTCAATTGACACTTTATGTTTCTTGACTTCTTCTTTGACGGTAAAGTATTTCACTTCCATATGCTTAGTACCATTTGAATACTTGTCGTTCTTAGTGAAGAAGACTTCTGCGGAGTTATCACAAATTTTCAGCGGTCTGCTGTTATTGTCGACTAGTCCAAGTCCCGAAATAAAGTTTCGTAGCCAATTAGCCTGAACAGTAGCCTCAAAGCATGCCACAAATTCAACTTCCATGGTGGATGCAGCTATAATAGACTGCTTCGTACTCTTCCATGATATTGCTCCTCCAGCTAATAGGAACAAATAACCAAATATAGATTTTCTTGTATCCATACAACTAGCATAATCTGAATCTAAATATCCAATCACGTCACGATGATCAAATCATCTATAAGTGAGCATATAATCTTGCCTTTTACATGTATGGGTACATTAAACTCCCAACTATCGATGCATAAAGAATATCTTTCATTTATACTCCAATTTATTCTTAGGATATTCATTGAGACTGAATTTATCTCCTTTCTGAATTGGAACAGGACTTGATGAGCATTTTTCTATTCTAAATCTCTCTAATACTTTATTAATATAGGCTTTGTGAGACAACCCCAATAATCCTTGTGATCATTTTTGAAATATTTCTATCCCGATCACATTGGATGCCTCTCCCATATCTTTCATTTCAAAGTTGTTAGAAAGAAATTTCTTGGTGTCGTGCATCATACCAAGATCATTAGTAACGTTATCGTCATACAAGACTAACATAATAAACTTACTCCCAAGGACCTTCAGATATATACACTTTGGCCTAATATGTTTCATGTTACGTCAATTCGAGCTTGCTCGATC